GAGGTACAATCCTATCGCTGTCAATTAATCTTAGTATAATGAGTGGACGGTCCAAACTAATGCGATACGATCTACTCCGGATGTCACCGATTGACTAGTCCTCCAACTGATTGTCTGCCCACTCATCAACTGACTGACTCATTCACTATCTGTATGTTTATGTATGTAGCCACTATTATTGATTCATTAGTAGGTCTGTGTAGGGTATGTATCCGTGTCTGTGTGTATGTGTAGGTTGCATTACACGCATATCGTACCCGGTGTGACTGTTTAGCAATGGAAGAGTGGGTGTCTGACCGCTCATTGGCCAGTAGCATATCACGCAGAGATGTCATCGATCGAACCATCCTTGAACTGATCCTTCATTCGATTGCATTTTCCCCAAACATCTCAATTCTAATCTCATCCCGTTTTTATGCGTTCACATTCCGGCGTGTAGACATGTCGCCATTGCTTCATCGTGTAAACTTTCATCTGAGCTAAAGATGCTTTGAATGTCCCTTTTGATGGCTTTTGTTTTATTCCTCTCGATGATATATTACGAATACTAAATAGGTGAAAAAATTGTGACATAATCTGTCGTCCTAATGTTACAGAAAGTGAAGAGGAGATGTAGGGTATGAATTTTTCTTCAAATTTAAACTCCGATGCTAAAATAGTGAACAGGCCAGAATGACTGACATATGCTTACTTTCCTGCCATTATTCCACCATTAAGGGATGAAATTTGATTTCAATTTTATCAAAAGTTATTTCGTTGAAATCGTTTCAGACTGTCCAATGAATTTATTACTGTTTGAACTTCATAAAAATGAACATGTCACGATAATTATGAGAAAATTCATATGCTCTCAACTGCTCTGCTTTTAGTGTCATCAAATTTATAACAATTAAAGTGTTTGGGTGCATGTTAAATGAAGCTGCACTGTCTGGACAGTTTCTCTTCAAGTTCATTAGACTTTATCGCTTGTGCCGTTTCAGATCGGCTCTTTTTGACTACTTATACTGTTACCAGTAATTTTTTTCTACATTTCATTCATGATTTTTAAAAATCATCTAACTGAATGGGTAATATACCTCTTTTCATACTCGTTTTGCAAACTACCTGTAGCTGTATGCTTACCAGGTAGGCCTGTACACCATCATGACAGAGTCAATGGCAATTTTCATATTGTACACATGCAAACTAAATCACTTAGGACTTATCTAAACTGAAAATGTACACTTTTCTAGATAAGGTCATTCAGTGTACCCCAATGACTATATTTTGACTTTATTTCAATCGTCTCTGTTTGTCTTTATCGTTTCATATGGCCCGAACCATGCATATTTGAATAAAACAGTGAGATGATCACAAAGGCGGCGAATTTCTATAGTCATAGTAATTCATCACTGTGAAATGAATCTATGAACGATGGAGGAGTGCCTTCGCATTCAGGTAAAACAGAATTCATTGATCCTAGATGACTAATGTTTGAGTGATTTTGATAATAATGATAACTAGCATAACAGTTTTCACATGGTGCAGCAATTTTTCCTCTACTTTTAATATTGTGTATGTTTGCGCGCATGCATGTGTATGTGTATGTTAGTTATTGTCATAACAGTGTGCCGCGATTAATAAGCAAAAATGTCAAGTGTAAACCGCGTTCATCATTATTTTACCTATATTGGTTTGTCGGATAGTTTGGAGTGTGTCGAGAGCTGCAAATATTGCAACTCACTTTTCCCTCAGCATTAGGGATGAAATTTTACCTGGAATAAACCAAAGACCTTACTCTCTTCCACATTGAACTTCTTACTTTAATGAACAGCCAACGAGAGGGAGATTGTTACAGGGAATGGATTTTGACCGTCATAAATTAGCATGTATGAGATTGGTATCAATCTAGTGTATAGATTCTAGTATATAGATTATATAGATATATAGATTCAATGTTGATCTAACAATCGGAATCACAGATTGATGAAAATACAATGATTCATTAAATATTTTTATTAGATGGGATTTTGACAATTGTCCTCGTGAAAACTGTCTCGAGGACTAAAACTCAAAATCGTTTTCCGAGTTTAGCAATAATTTTAGGAAATAAAGAGGGATATATTCCTATTGGTTTCATATGTTTTGGATATTTCTTTAAGACTCATAATGGTTGTATCGAGGACAATTGTTATAATACAGCTTATGCTGCATAGCTTTATAGAAAGAACAAAATCATTGGTGTTATTAATGATTTCAATTTGTCCCATTATCTGTTGTTGGTCAGAAGATAAGTCTTACTTGTGTATGTTCCCAATTGCTCATCTATTTTCCTTTTTTCTCACACAGTTCATTATTTATGTTTTTTTGCAACTTTGTTTCTATGAATGTATTTTTCAGAGATTTGTTCCAAAATTTTCATGTAATTTAAATTTTACTGTTTCATTTTCTAATAGAGCATTTTTCTTTGAAGGTTTTTCTTTGGATTCAGTAATCACTGAATTGCAAAATTGTATAAGGAAGCATTCTTTCACTGCGTCTAGGAAAGCAACTTTCAAAATTAATCAAATCTCTACTTAATAAATTTGATTATGTCGGGGGGAATCGTCATTTAATTTCTGTTCTTTGTTTTGTTATGATTTTGATATCATGTTGTATGTTGAAGTTAACACATATATTTTTGTGTCAGGAATAAAGTAGCGTTCAATTTCGAACTGGGAATTTTTCGATGAAGAATTGACGAGCTTTACAACATTCTGAATTTCTTAAATATGAGCAGCTTGTTAGAACCCTAATTTCGTCTTCATTGCTGCTTTTTTCTGTGATGTTTAATATTTGGCAGCAAAGAATATTTGTGTGGTACTAAAAATGCATTCGTTTCTTTCAAAATTTTTTTTGGAAAGTGGTCGAAGAAACGATTTGATTTGACTTTGAAAAGTTCATTTCCAGCTTTCCTCTCTTTTTCGTAAATTCATGATTTTTTCTTTAATTCTGGGTGTTTTATGGTGGCCATAATGTACGTAGTCCTAAGCGACCGGTATTTAGATGCTATATCAATTTCAACGGCACATTCTCACGAAATTTTTTTCTTGAAATTGGAATGAAATACTGAGTGGGAAATTACATTAACTAAAATACAATCATTACTTATCCGTTTGGAATCTCTCATAACTCAAAATTTGATAATGAGCTTTTTCCTTTGTGTGTGTAACCAACATTGACATAGTCTCTTTTGCGTTTACTAATTGCTTTTTTTTAGCTAGAAATGTTTTAAAGTTCTATGTGATGCAATGTGGAAATGCAGTTATCGTGCGCATGCAATATAGATGAAGACATTTTCTTTATTGTATATAAATTCAGTATTGTAAGAAGGGAGAAAATAAAAATGTTCCTAAATTATTAGCAATTCCAGAAAGTGCCTCCATTTCAGATTTATTCATTGCTAAAAAAGTTTTAACTGAACATTGTAAAATATGGAGCAAATTAGGCTGCATCTTCATGATGGATGATGTATGACTGGTTGTGCTTTAACAAGCTCTATCACATTTTCAGTTTGCTCGTTTTATATCATTAGCAGTGCTTGCGTTCCCTAATCGTAGCTCATTGAATAGCTAAGTTGAGACTCAATCGGAAGCTAATAAAAGCTATCTAGTGTCGCTCAAATTTGGTTAGCATATATCATTTTTTCCCAATCTTCCTCTGCAAAGCATGTTTATCAGTATTCTTTCCTCTCCTCAGCACTTCCTTTAGTAATTATTCCAGTCACATTTCTTTTTTTAACTGTATATACACTGTCGGAAATTTATGTTCCATCAATAGAGAATTCGTCATTGCACTAAATTTTAGCATATTTAGAGGCAGAGAACTAGTTTGCAAAGACACAAAAAACATGCTATAATGATGGCTAAGTTTTTTCAGGGACGTGATGAATGGATATAGATCGAACTCTCAACATATGTTACTATTAAAAATAGATCAAGATTGTAACTGTTGTGATACTGATATATTAATAGGCTCTTTTTATAACAGAATACTTTGTAACGTTCATAATTACTAGAACTATTCAAGTGTTCAGTGCAATGACACTACTTTGACTCTGCGTTTGTTATATATAATGCCATTCCTCTTAAGTTCTTTGTTGAGTGCACATGGAAAAAATATTTTTCATTGCAGTTTTGAAATGTTGACTAAAGCTTATGAATTCAAACTATGTTACTTTATGTCAGACGCACTGTTATGTTTATATCTCAAATTAGAAATGCCTTTTGTTAATGTTGTGATTAAAATTAATTTTAAGGGTATAGAGTGACTAAATTAATATTTCAAGAGTTATTTTGACAGTAGCACATTTATCGAAATATGGATTGTTTAGACGGATTACCAAGAAACGATGGTTAACTAGAATGTGAACTTTTCTTAACGTTAATATAATTGAGAGGGGTAGGGGATATTCATCGTGCAATGTTTCCTGTAATGGAAAATTACGTAACTGTAGCAGTTACGTACTGTATGTTTTCTTTATAATAAATTTATCGCTATCGCTTTCAAAAAATTTCGTTCTGCAACAACGTTTTTGAATGGTAGTGCCATTATGCATTATAATCGATGGTGTTGAACTAAGAATTTATGTTTTATTAATCCACAGAAATTTGATTTCATAACAAAGAAGTCTAGTGGTAACTATCGCTTTAAAATATGAAACTTCTAGGTCTTGGATAATGTCTTTAATCTATGTCGACTCAATAGGAAAAGGTAGAGAGTTATCTCACAGATTTAGTTTCATAGTTTTGTTGTTGAAACGTTGACAGCATTTTTGTGTTCATATCTTATTATTAACGGCGTTTGCGTTTAATGTATGAGCATTATTTTTTTGTTCTTTTAGCATTCTTATTCTTAGGTAGGTATCCAGTGAAGAGAGAAGAAATCAGTATTTAGAGGAAATCCAAGGAATTTGGGCGAGACATTAGACGGTTATCAACATTCGGAAATTATTTGTCTAGTTGCTTTGATTTTGATATGAAATGAAGTGTGACAATAGATGTGATGCGCCATCAGTTATCGCAATACATTTTGCACCTTCCTCATCTGATACTTATCTTCCGCAAGCTGATTCGTCTCCTTGCCATACCGTTGATTTTCCAATTGTTAATCAGCAAAATAGCGTTTGTAAGTCCCAGTCCGTCTTCAGAAGACATTGTCGCCGAGTTCATCAGTCCGAATGCCCACAGCGAAAATCTTCCGTTCGAAAAAATGGTTTGTTCTCATACCCTTTTCGAGAACCCTCACAGGAGTATTTCCACCTGTCAGTTTATTTGTCATGTTAGCTGCTAATCGAGAAAGTTGCATTTTTATGATATCGAAATTTATCACATATTTTTTTAATGCATTTGAGTTGGTTTCAGTAAAATCTTGCTAGGAATGCTTTACAACAATTAGTAAAAAAGTTATTGGAATTAAATTGGCAGTTTATTTTGAAAAATGATATAAGAAATTGTATGTGCTACCTTAATAGTACAGGCTATGATTGTTTAACAAGCGGGAAAAAATTTAATTAGTGGAAATAATATATACATATATGTTATAAAGAAGAGTGAGGAATATGTAGTAAATTTCAATACCATAAATGGTAACAACATGTGTTATTCATGAATAACGTACAGAATAAAGTTTTAACCTAATTGCAAATGTTTTTAGTTATCTATCCCCTTGAATTGTTTATATCTTTGTAACGGTCTTTTTTATATTTAGATCAACATTTTTTAATGTTTGTTCAACTTCATCTTTTTACGGTATCTCTTCACTCTAAATAAATGAAGTTTCCTCACAGGAAGCTGTTTTCGAAAAAGTAATTTGATGAATAAGCTAACGAGCTGGTATTATCATGCCTAAAAATAGTGCTTAAAAATAAGAATAAACAAAGTCATCATTGACCAATCTTTTAAAATAGTAAAAAAATACCTCTTTTGGTTAAAAATTATTTAATTATCTAAAATTTCAGGTCATCGACCCATCTACAGGTCGTTTATATGTTGGTGGAGTGAACAATCTCTACGATTTAAACCATCCAGATCTTAGTGTTAAAGTTCACACTTCAACTGGTCCAGAAGAAGACTCTGTTGAATGTCCAAGTATATTTTAATGTTTAATTTACAGCACAAGTAGATCAGATGATTGAGGAGAACCAGAAACTATTGACTACCCTTTTGGCAATGATTTGTTAAGTTTAGATTTAGAAAAATTTCGAAAAAATAGTTGGTATATAGTTATTTATATACATTTATATATAAAATAGCGGTAAATTAAACATATTTTACGAAAGATGGAAAATTTCGATAACTAGCCGTTGTTTTCTGCCATTAGCCGTCCATATGCTGTTATGTAAAGTGTAAATATACTAGAATCGTCATTAGACTATGTAGACTGACTTGTCGCCATAACTAGAAGCAGTATAGGGCCTTATAATTACTTGTAGGTCCATAACCCTAACTTAGTCTTTCTAGTGTGCTGGCAATTTATCAGAGTATTAAAGAAACATATTGCAATGGAAGTTATTCTTAGACAGTAATTTTTGTTTAATGAAGAAGTAACTTAAAGTAAACTTATATATATAATGAATATGTTCGCAGCAAAGTGGGATGATTTATACATATATTATGGAGACTAATATATAAACAGCTGCTACTGTTTTTAGATAAAGCTTCTTGCTTATCTTCAAATATACGTAGAACGACAGAAAATTCTTATACAAAGGGTTTGGCTGTTTACGAAAGAAGTTCCAAATTAATCGAATGTACAAGTCTCTTCCAGGTTTTCTTTTTCAGTTCCCAGCTGCACCTTTGCTTTTACTATTACTTTTTGCGTTGAACATAATGATTAGAATAAAAAATCAGTCACTCCACTGAAAATCTTGAGCAGATTTGGAAGCATTTTGAAGCTATTGATCAAAAAAATCTTTTCCTTCACATGTCTTCTTTTTAAAATTTTATGCTGTACTTCCTGGAAAATTATAGGGCCGGTGTCGATGGCGCAATTTATATAATATTGATCAAAAAGATGTAATCAAAGAATCTCAGCAGCATATTGTTGCGAATGATCAAAATTCATCAACTGTGATATTTGTTGGAACTTTCACTAGCCAAGATAACACACAAAGTGATTATCTCGATAATTTTATCATACGTATTTTTTCTTAGCACAACGCATTTTTGGACTGTCAGTTATAAAATGATAAGAATTTTTCGAAATATTGCTTTCGAACGAAGCTGTAAGAAAAAGAACATATAAAATTCTTCAATACACTTTTAGGTGATGTGCTTTATGTAGCTTCAACTTTTGTGCAAAATGGCGGACCATTTCGTGATGACGTTCCAGCAGTTGCATCCTTGTCACTTGATCAAAACCGTCTTTTTGATGTTTCTGCGCAAGGAGTCGGCACCGGCACAGAAATCAAATTGGAGCGGAAGTTCCGAGGACCATATAAGTGGGTCTTTCTTATCTTCGATGTCTATTGCTGTCAGGTTAACGTATTACGATAGTGTACTGTATTTCAGAATTGAATATGTTGGTGGATTCCAGAGTGGTAAATTTGCGTACTTTGTAACGCGACAACCAAAAGGAGATACAACACAGGGATCTTGGCCCTACATTTCCAAAATGGTTAGAGTCTGTACTAGTGATGCTCATTTCTGGAGCTATACAGAAGTTCCACTTGAGTGTGCACACGAAAATGAACTCTACAATCTTGTACAAGATGTATATTTATCGAAACCAGGATACGATTTGGCATTATCTTTGGGTATAAGGTTCGGTGCTTTAAAATTGTGTTTTTCCGGTTACGTCTTAAAGATAAGTAAGACTTATATTATTTACATTGTAAGAGAAAAAAGAATAATGAACTTTGTTCTTTTTGATGTTGCAGCAAATGTATTCCTCACTATTTCCTTTGCAGTGTTGAGGATGATGTTCTCTATGCGGTGTTTGTAAAAGGATCTAATCTGGAGGAAACGATACCTTCATCAAAAAGTGCGATTTGTGCGTATTCAATGGCGATGGTGGAAAAAATTTTTCTGAGTAATATTGAATTGTGTTTCAGAGGTGAAACTAATAAGGTAAATAGTTTGATTTTTTTAACCAGAGACCGTTTATTTTTTTTTTCTCGAGACTGCGAACTAGCAGGTAATATCTTATTATGAGATTCTGATCATATCTAATAAATATAGTAGATATTTTCTTCGTTCACTTCCAGAATCTACCTTGGTTCAAGTCAACAGATCGATGCATTAAGACTAGGTATTTGGGACAAGAAGTATTATGTGGCAAGGATGTGAATAGTCATATTGGGGGTGAAATTCCAGTTGAGGGAATTGCTGCTTTAATTACACATGATGCACAATTTACTTCTATTGCGACGAACACAACGCGTGCATATACTGTTGCATTTATTGGAACGCATGATGGGCGACTTCTTAAAGTAAACTTTATTAAAATTGATACAACTACCGGCTCTTTAAGCACAGTGCGCTTTTATGGTGTCATGATTGCACATCTGACTTGGTGAAAATCTTTACTTTTTGAATCGTGACCTGAACGTTAGCAGTTCATGTTATTTGATTTTGCCAATCAATACACTGCTGTGTATTCTCAATCTGTTAGAAGTTTCCGTGATTATGTTGTTCGTTTATTGTTCAATGCTGCCTATTTTCTTATAATGGGTTACTAGGTTCGGAATGGGTTTCCTTCAGGCGGTGGTTTTGCTCTAATTTAATTTATATTTTAGGCCGTAATAGAGAATCGCAGTTCTGCTTTTATATATCGCTCGTTGGAAATCGGTGATGGTAAGCCAATACTTCAAGATCTGGAGCTGGATGCCACTGGCGATTATATTTATGCTGTTACACCGAAGAAGGTTTGCTGATACTGATTTGTGTTTAAAAACTTTTGAGTTATTTCTTGATTTTTTTACTTAATCATATAACACTTTTTCGGGTTATTTCTTGTGCAGTAAGCTTTCGGACATTTTACTTTATTGCGAGATTTTAGAAATTTTAGGTAGTAGAGATTTTAGGTAGTCAAAGTTAAAGTTCGCCAGTGTGGAGGAGCTGGTGACTGTCGCAGCTGTCTGGCGCAGCGGGATCCATACTGTGGTTGGTGTGTTTTGAATAACGCATGTGTTCCAGAAAGTGAATGCACGAAGTCCATACCATCAACAGCACACGACTGGCTTACTTATCGAAATGGACGATGTCCTGCGTATGCTTTTTGATTTTAAACACAAAGATAAGCATTACAAAGAACTTCCGCCTGATCTGTTAATTAGTTGGAATGAAAAATATGTTTTCTGTTTGAGGGAAAGCATGTTATGTTGAAAGCATATTTTAGCATAAGTAGAGTGGAGCCTGACAAAGTGCAAAAGACCAGTGCATCGTATTTGAACATCGAGCTTGAAAATCTGCCGAATTTGGGGGGACAGTTAACATGTGTTTTCGACTTCGGCATTTTGGGATCACTGTCAACACTTGCACAACCAAATGGTGGTTTGGACAATCGTATCAGGTTAGTGACTATATTATGAAAATATTTTTGTTTCAAACTATGTTGTTATGCATTTTCATAATGTGACTGTCTGTTTCAGATGTCCAACTCCAAATGGTTTACCGGAAATTCCATTAGATGCGCACAGTCTTGTTGCTCGGCTTGCAGTTTCTAACAGTATTGAAGGACCACCGCTGGCACATACCAATTTTACTTTTTATGACTGTTCTCGTTTTAAATTCTGCAGCGCATGTGTTAGTAGTCTATTTCCCTGTGACTGGTGTATAGAATCAAATCAGTGCGTTGCTGGCGTTACTACCGAAAATCGTTGTCGTTCTCAGCAGCTTGTCAATGGAGTTGAGGTTCCATTCAAATTTAAGAGTTTGAATATGCATAATAGATGATACAGTTTAGATCTCCCAGCAACGGTGATTATCCACTTATCAATTTCTCTTGGATGTTTTCGTTTTATGTAAACATTTCTTTTAGAGAAGCGGGCCATCAAGTCGGAAAGGACCATCACATTGTCCCCGTATCGTTGCGGCTAAAAGGGATTTTTTTGTCGCGTCCGGTAAAAATCGTCAAATATCGGTGGTAGTGGAAAATGCAGGGAAATTTATGACAGATTTCAAATGCCAGTTCAAAATAGAACACAGTATGCATGAAAGATTAGCAAAAAAAAAAGACAGTACCATCATGTTAGTTTATTACCTTAATTTGTTTTTTCTCATTTCCCTTTCATGCAGTTTTGATTTGAGATTATTTGGCTTTTGACTAAGTTTGGTATTCATATGTTTTCTTTTATAAAGAAACATTTGCTCCTGTATGGTCTTCGGTGTTGACGTTTTCATTATTTTTCAGTTGTGATGACATGAAATTTGATTTTTATGGGCCCGGATCCGGAAATGGTACCGCTATTGCAAATTTTTCGGTGATCTGGTCTTCCGAGGGACGCCATGGGGGTTTTGCCCTGGACAACAATGAAGGCATAAGAATTGTAATGTATAAATGTGAATCACTTGCATCGAATTGTGGATTATGTCTGGTGCTTAGCGGTGAGAAATACGATTGTGGCTGGTGTCCAGCTGAGAAGCGATGTACAAGGGAAGAAAATTGTCCAGTTACATCAAAAATGGATTATTGGCTAGACAGGTATATTATTTAGATATGCGCGGAGCACTAATGTTTGTTAAGAAATGATTTGCTTCGCTACGTATTTTATCAAATAATGTTCATTTCAGATCCCAGCTTTGCCCATATCCTGTAATCACCAATTTCAGTCCTAAAAAGGGACCTCTCGCTGGCGGTACCACAGTAAGTGATTTTCTTGAAATTTATATAAACTCGAGCTGTAAGATTTCAAATTCTTCATCATGTTCAACGAATTAAATCGATTAAATATATATTGATAAATGATGAATGGAAAATTATTTCTGTTCAAAACATTATAGCTGATTATCGATGGTGTGAATCTCGGTCATAGCTACAAAACTGTGGAGGAAGCAGTGACGGCAGCGAACGTGCGCTGTGATGTTGACGAGCTGTCCTACATTACTGCATCACGAATTGTTTGTCGTACCCGGCAAAGTCCAACGCCGATACCAGCGCGTTATCCTGTTGTCGTGAAATTGCGTGAGGAGCACAGGTATACTGCAATCTCGAATGATAGTTTCACTTATGTCGATCCTGTTATCAAGAACATGGAGCCTACAAAAGGTACAGCATTGTTTGTTCGCATAATATAAACTGACAATATTCCATACAGAATTCTTGTTGACGTTACGCTTTCGCGTAATATTTGCTTTATTTCTTAGTTATATTCGTGAAAGATAAAGCATGTGAAGAAGTAGACCGATTCTGGATTGTTTTTAAATTCGTATCTATAACATCCAGGAGGGCTGCGTTTCATTATGTTTTAAAAACAGGTACTATTTACCGGTGAGCATTTTACATCAGATTTGTTTTTGATCTAGTATAAAGAGCAAGTAAGTGAGCAAGCAATGTATTTAGATCTTAATTATTATGTAACAATTGAACCGTTAAAGGGCCTCGATTTGGTGGAACTAGTGTAACAATATGGGGTGAAGATCTTGATGCTGGTACATCAGTGGATATTTTGCTGAATGGTGTTCGATGCACAGTATTGAATCGCACAAATGACAAAGTTGAATGCAGGACGGGTCCTTCAGAATCACTTACTGATGGGTTTCTGAAAATCAGTTTCGATAGTTTTTCTCGAGAATATGATAATATTCGATTTAGATATGAGTGAGTATTTTTCCTTCATATTCAGAATTGCTTTACTTTTACAGGTTTCTGTAAAATTAAGTCATCTTCTAGATTATCCTGCGCAATCACTTCATTATTGATAAAGAAATTCCAGGGAAAACCCCACTTTTGCACAAGTCGTACCTGAAAGAAGCATCGAATCGGGCGGAATAATAGTTGATGTGATGGGAACTGGCTTCAAGTTACTGCAGCGGCCCCATATGGTTGTAAGAGATGAAAAAAGAGTAATGAAAGGACCACAATGCAATGTTGTACGCGATGATTTGATTTTCTGCAAGACGCCAAGCTTAGAAATTCCTCGTAACAGGTTCATTAATTATCATTTGTAAAGTTATTTTCGTTTACGTACTCATCAGTTATCAACTAATAATTTGAATTGGTAATAGTACTAATAATTAAGTGAAGTTGATGTCGTATATATTTTCTGTGCCACCAAATGAAACGTGAAACAATGTTTCCTTCCTTCGTAAGAATGGTCATATCTCTAAAATAAATCTTTACTATATCTAGAATAAATCAATGTATTTAGGCGGAAACATCCAACGGCTGATGAACCCCTGCTGTTAAATTATGGCTTCGAACTTGATGGAGTTCGTACGGAGTAAGCTTATCACAATTTTATTTAGGCTAACTTCAAAATTCATCTGTTCCTCAAAATTCACTCTGGAAATATGTATTACATTGCATTGAATTTAATAATTGGTGTCTAAGTGCTAATTGACGGTTTAAATTTCCCTTATAAATGTTGTTAGAAAAGTCATCAACAACTCTCTGTGTTCGCAAATACGGTTTATTATTTTCTAATGGTAGTCCAAAGTTAATATGTTTGATAGATAAGCAAAAAACGAAGTATTTTAACAAATAGTGCAATGCATATTACTTGCTGAAGCTATGCTTTTCAGAAATTTCTACACTATTCGATGTTTTAGGGATATTTCGCAGTTAAGTAGTTTCCGAATGCGTCACTTGGCTGTTTTTCCGGATCCCGTAGTCGAAAAATTTAGTGACGTGAGGTTTTATCGATCAGGTGATTATCTGACAATAAATGGCAAATATCTGGATGCAGCTGCAAGGGAGCGGGATATACTGGTAACTGTAGGTGGTGAACCATGTAACTTGACTGCTTTAGCGAATCGTGCACTTACGTGCCAACCACCACTTGAAAAACCCAACAGCCAAAAATTTTCATATGACGCCGATCCGGATGTTCTTGTGAAAATAGGTGACGTAAGGTATGAGCACTTCATGATGTTTTCTGCTTCCTCTTAGTTTTTATCGTATTAATTTTTATATGAAAAATGCTTATTTATTGTGAATTTTAGCTATCGAGTGGGCTATCTATCGTATAGCATGAAAGAAGCCGGACTATCACCGCATGTGATGGGGGCTATACTGATACTGACTGTTTGCATTATTGGCGCCTTTTTTTTGCTTTTAGTTTTCTACAGGTAAATTTTTCATGCTATAATAAATTTTTGAAGGACAAAAGCAGAAATACTGATTGAAGATTACATTCTTTTGTTGTTAGAATTGCTAATTCATGATTATTTCAGACGCAAAAGCACTTCCCATATGCGTGAAATGAAGCATTTGAAGAACCAAATCGATCAGATTGAGATGAAGGTGGCCACTGAATGTAAAGAAGCATTTGCAGAATTGCAGACATCGATGAATGCAATGGCTGCTGTTTTGCCTCTTGGAACTCCTTTCATACCATTTCTCTCTTATAAGGAATATACAGCTAGAGTAAGGTTTTTATTTCCTGAAAAAAAATTAAACGTTACATTTGTTTTTCATGTCTTATCGATTTTTAACCAAAGCTTTACTAAGGTCATTTCAGGTGCTGTTTCCGAACAATTATCATAATCATCCGGTCTTGCGTGATTTGGAAGTTGATAGTCAACGCGCACATTCGATAGAAATGGGTCTTCGAGCATTCAACAAACTTCTGATGAACAAACACTTCTTGCTTTCATTTGTGCGTGCGATGGAAAATAATAAGTATTTTCTCGGCAAAGATCGCGTGTCTGTCGGATCACTCCTAATGGTCGTGTTGATGGTAATTTTAACTAAATTTTAGTTAGAGAAATATAAGATAAAAATTCATTTTCCCTTTTCTCTCATTCTTCCTTTTATAGGAAAAAATGGAATATTGCACCGAAATTTTGAAACAGTTGTTAAAAGAACTCATTAATCGGACAATGGAAAAAAGATTACAGCCAAAGATCCTCTTTCGCCGTTCAGAAAGTGTTGCAGAACGTATGTTGGCTGCGTGGTACACCATTCTAATGTATAGATACCTTACGGTGAGTATATTTGTTTTTGTGCGTTAGCAAAGTTAAGGAAGTTCTTTTTTTCATTTGAGACCCAAGTTCAATTACAACTGATTTGAAGGCCTTTTGTTTTAAATAACTAGTAGAAAACCGTTAGGAAAATGCGATCTATTTTTAAGAAGTAAAACTTTTTTCAATTCCGATTTTTGTTTTGTATAGGAATGCGCTGGTAGAAAACTCTATGAATTGTATTGGGCGATGAAGCAACAAATGGAAAAAGGCCCACAAGATGCACTGACCCTCGAGGCGCGGTATTCTTTGTCGGAAGAGAAACTTTTGCGGGCATCTTTTGATTTTCGGAAATTAACTGTTTTTGTTGCTGCAGATCACCATTCTTCCGGTGCAATGGATTTTCCGGTCAGAGTGCTTGACTGTGATTCGATAACACAAGTATGATTTCCTTTGTGAAACTGGTTTAGCTGAAGGTGAAATTATGATTCGATGTTAATATACACTAAAGTATTGTACAAAAGAGTTCATTCGCTTTGTAATTTTTTCCAATTGCAGTTATCAGAACTGGGGTGTTACTCATCTTTTCAGTAGTATATTTGATTAAAATAAACGTAATGAAACCTCAATTTTACAGCCTCTAAGAACATATATTGGCAAATTCAACTTTTTGATTCATGAATGGTTTATTTTCAGATAATTATGCTCCTTATTTCCTAACATTTTCCCTTTTTTGGTATTCAAAACATAGCTCACCTTGTTTTATTTTTCTATAAAAAGATTTTTCAGGTGAAAGAAAAGTGTCTGGACGCGAAGTACCGCACAACGGCGTTTTCTGATCGTCCTTCTGTGAATGATCTTGATTTGGAATTACGATCAGCATGCCCTCGAATAATTCTTCAAGATATTGACAGTACTTCAAAGGTTGAACATGGTGGTTGGAAAAGGATTAATACTCTTGCTCATTATAATGTATTTTCTTTTAGTTTTTGTATTCTCTTTGTTATTTATTATTTAATTAGACCTACATAAGTTTTCTTAAAACCATTCAAACCTTCGTCTTCCGTAATTCATTTGGTCATCTCAACCTTCGGTTGAATAGGGCGATAAAAATAATGAAATCTCCTTTGCCGATTTTTCTCCGTAGTTTAGATCACATGGGAAATGCGATTAAGATTAGAGTTTAGAGTTAGATTTACATAAGATTTCGTTGAGATATAATTCATTGTTAAGGAAGAATTATTCATTACGCACTACCTCATCATTTGTGAAGAATGAGGTTCGAGAGAACCAAAAATTAGTTTATTTCGAATATTACTTATTTTTATTCTTGTTCCAGGTTTCTGAAAATGCGACTTTAGCACTACTTCCACGCCAAGCATCTCTTTACAATCTGTCAATTTTGAGTGAGCGCTCAACATTTTCGTTACCAAAACAAAGTCCTACACTCACAAGACCGTTTGGAACAAACTCAAGCTCTCAGTGCAAAGGTTTGCTGTCAAGTTAGTGTTCACTTTTTTAAAGTTGGGGAACTTGTTTTTGAACTGATTAATAATCGTAATTGTTTTGCTTTTTTGTAGTATTTAGTTTAATTTTCTCCTTTATTTCATGATAAATTGTCAGTTTGTCATCTGTCAAAAATGCACACTCCCAAATTGTTACAGACATGGATTCCAATTATAAATTGTACCACCTTGTGCGTCCTTCCGAACATGGTTCATCTGATCAACAAGATAAAATGGTCACTGAAATATATCTGACTAGGTAGGTTTTAAGTTCTCATTCGTTGTAAGCATTAGGTATCGTTCAGAATTCGAACGAAGCTGTAAGTTATTCGTTGTGCTCCTACCTATTCTAAAAAAAATTTTTGGAGTATTTCAGACTGCTGACAATGAAGGGTACACTTCAAAAATTTATCCAGAACTTATTGGAAGTTATATTTTCTACTGCAGTTCCGAATTCATCTATTCCTTGCGTGAAATACATGTTTGATTTCATGGATGATCAGGTGAATGACATTTCTCTATTATATGGCAGATTGATTGTACGTTTTGATCTTTTCACGTTGCAATTTGCTTTCAGGCTAGAGAACATGGCATTGAAGAGAATGAAGTTGTTCATGCTTGGAAAAGCAATTCCCTACCCTTGAGATTTTGGGTCAACTTGATAAAAAATCCACACTTCGTATTTGATATCCAGAAACCCACGAAGGTATGCATGCAGTTTTATTCCCGTCTCAAGTTGCTTTTTTGTGTATCAAGCAATGTTCTGAATTGGTTGCAACACCAGAGTGAAATTCATGGATACCTTTTCCAGCTCGAAGGTTGTTTATCGGTTGTGGCTCAAACTCTTATGGACGCATGTTCGACACAGGAACACCAGTTAACGAAAGATTCGCCCAGCAGCAAATTATTATTTGCAAAAGATATATATCAATATCGTGACTGGGTTGATAGGTTAATTCTTTTCTAGTTCTTCTTTTATAGTTATCAAATTTCTTTAACTAAGCAACTTTCTTACAGATACTATGCAGAAATAAGGCAAATGCCCCCAATAACCGATCAGGATATGAATGCACTGCTTGCTGAAGAGTCACGTTCTCACTCACGTGACCGTTTTCATATTTTCAGCGCACTAAATGAACTTTACAAGTAAGTTTTCTACATGGTTTTATCTGAATTTTTGCTTGGTTACACTCTTGTTTGATTAATTTTAGTCTTTCTTGAGTAGAAACTTGTCCGTTTTTGAAAATTACAGTTGTTTTATAAAAAATGTTATAAAGTGTTGAACTTGCTGTTTTTAACCTAACGATTGAAGATTTCCTTGTTAGGTATCTGGAGCAATACAAGGAGTCTTTACGTGAAGAATTGGATATGAATCAATTTGCAGTCAATCAGAAACTGCCACAAAAGTTCCAAGACATGTTGAATACAATGGAGTGCATAGGTGAACACTACAGTAATGGTGGCAGTGAGACTATAGGAAGCTTTGGACATCGTGTTTATCGAGGAAGACCAAGGGAAGACAGAGTGTAACATAAATATAAAAGCGTTGCTTCCAAAGACATTCTTTTACGTTTCAATGTACTCAAAGTTTTATTCTGGTCCTCATAAAATTGTTGAATGAGCAAATTTTGAATTAATGATGGCTTAACCGCCCCAAAAAAACATTAAAAGTGTTTCGTCCATAAAAATTCATCTACCTCAAAGAACATCATGTAGTCAGTCATATGCTTATGATTAAAATTCGTTTACTGGGACACTGTCATCAAAAGCCATTTTTTAATGACATACTTTTCTATCTTATATGTAGAAAGAAGTGTCTGGGTCGGTAGAACAATTACTTGAATCACCTGTATTATGTTATGTTTTGGAACGATTGAGATTTCGAAAATTTATTTTTGCCTTAGAAGTGCGAATTCAAATATTGAAAATGTAACTTATTGTTGTATTTTGAATTTATTGTTATGCATAACGGTTTACCGTAATGTAACCGATACAAAAACCCATTTTGATTCTTGCAACATTTTATCGTGCGGGTATTATGCGGTATTCACCACGGTGCTCATTTCGTAGCATGAAGGTTCAATCATGTCATCACTGCAGTGAATACATTTTTTTCACATTTCTATATCATGCTTTCAAATACCACTTTTTCATATTTTCAGGAAATCTTTTTTCTTTTCCAGAAGAAAACATTTCTCTAATTTTCATTACCACATGTCATATGATCAGAAGTGGATAATTTTTGAACCGGAGAACAGTTTCTCTGTCGTCACGTTTGTTATCTGGCATATTTACAAGTTTTGGTGCTTTAATTGTTTGCAACCATTCTGCTGCATATATATATATATATAAAGTGTTTATTACTAATTTTGTTGCCTATACCTTCCTTTACATTCATTTTGCAGTGTAGCTTTTCTTTAATGCAGTGTATAATCTGGAGGGGATATTAGTTGAATTATGTATTTCATACTTCAGCGGCAGATGATGACTCATGTTTTGCCATCACTGCAGACACCACTATGACACGCTACACATAGAGCGTGGTACAAAGCAGTAACCGTTTGGGTTCCATCCGAGCTCATTGGGACAGTTAAACTTTTCAAACAGATTTGATTATCATTACATGGCTGGTCTAGGAAAATGCAGTTCGTATAATGCTTACCTCATTTAGTGACTAGGTGACGCACATTGATTCGTGATGGCTTTTACACATTGCGATGGTGCTGAGTTATCAATGGTGCGGATGAGAGCATATAAATGGGATAAATTCGAGATAACTCGGTACAGAGGCGATGAAAGAACAGCGCATTAGAGGTGCTAAATTCGTTCTGTACCATACAGTTTTTGTGACTCTGAATGCAATCCATACATCGACCGTGGATTCTATTGAACTGATCTAAATTTGTACTTCGATGATCGGTCATTTAGACGAAATCGTTCCACGGAACAACATATTGAGCAGAATTCATATATCGCTGCGGTGAGATTGTGATGCAATATTTTGGATGACCCTTTGTTTTTTATGACGGTAACATGAAGGACCTGCAGTTTGCAAAAACTTTCAAATCGGGTTTGTAAAATGGTAGGCAACATTAGCCGTAGATAAGTTAATTTACTGGAAAGTATCTTGAGTCGTATGCAAGCTTTTTGTGATTTTAAACAACCTGGGCGATGAGGGCTTTTCAAAATGCTCATCGCTCATGAGTTATGATTCAGTACTAGCTGACCGAAACATCTATCAAATAAGTCTATGCAAATCTTAATAGCTTGACAATAGTATACATTGGGAAAACACTGCAGAAATGGCAAATGTTTCATTTGAGACGAGAAGTGACATACTGAATCGTTGCGGAGTTAAGATAAAAGCCAGTAAGCATAAAAAGGAATGGTATTGAGCTCAAAACAATTCGAAGTACTAAGTTTGTGAACAATATTTCATTTCAATTTCAATCGACTCCAATTAAAACAATTGAAAGAGTTAATTAACAAGTTGTTCACTGCGACACAAGTAATGAACTGACGCTCGATTCACAATTTTTTCTCTTTCTGCTCCCAATCAACATATCATTTGGAATAATCTCAACATATCATTTGGAATAATTGAGCTGAAACTCATAATATTTACAGTTTCGAACGGATGAAGAGATCTGAAGTAAAGTCATTCAATGGGACCAAGAAAAAATTTACATTTAGCCGTGATTAAACCATAAATGAAATCAAAATCAAACATTTCGAAATGAGCAAACAATCTGATATAACCAGAGATGAAATATGCATTAATTTTAGGCCTAAGATTCTAGGATAAAAAGATCCGGAACTCG